CTTAATATTTGAGCGGTGGGCGCGAAGTACGATTAACTCGACCCTGTTCTTACGTCATTGCCGCCCTAGGGTGCAGCTTCCTCCCTCTCCCCCTCCCCCCTGCCGCCCGCTCCCTAATCCGACCCAGCCTCCGCCGCGCTCTCCCGGCGCTTTTGCGTCATTGCCGGCTGTGCTGAAACACAGCGCGCTTTTTCGTCAATGAGATCCCGGAGCATTGGGTGTGTTACGGACGAGGGAAGGGAAAGAAGAGTGGCCAGTGCACGCTGACGTAAAAGACAAATAGAAACGGTCGGTACACGCGGCAATCGCGCGGCTCGCTAATAAATCCGGCTCATATCGTGTGGAAGAGGACAGACGCGGGGTTTGCCTTCGCACATCCGGCCGGCGGGCGTTTGGCTTTTTTTTCCGGTTTAGTCTGCGGTACTCGATGTCGCGGCGTAATTTCTGGGTGGCGCTGGCTTGTCCACCGATATCGAGAATACGTCGACGGGCCGGCCGAACGTCGGTTATTAAATTTCGATACTGCACACACCCGAACATCGCCTTGCCTCCCCTCGCTCTGCCTCGTCTCCCGCGTGCGCGCGGGGCTTTTTTATACCGTAGCCCGCGCGGAGCAAAGCCTGAAATTTCCGTTCCAATCCGGCGAACGTCGAGCGGCGAGTCGTTCGCGCAGGAGCGTTCTCCCCGGCCATACGCTCTCGCCCTGGCGCATCCGTGTGCGTGCGTATGCGTGCGTGTACGTGAGTATGCGCGCGTGTAATGCGCTGAATTTTAATTAAAATTGAAAATGCGTAATAATCGATGGCAACGGGCAACGTTATCCCTCAATTAGCGGCGGAGTGGGTCGCGAAAGGAACACAAGCGCGTCCTGCGCAACTAATACGCGCCGTGATGTATTATATAATTTCGTCGGTGAAGTTTCGTGCTGATTAAAAGCGAATAACAATAAACGCTAGAAACACACTGCGCGAGTACGCGCGCTCGAGTATATCCGCTTTTCAATTTTCGCTAGAATGGGCGCGCGGGCAGGCGCAGGGGGGGGAGATTAATTTTAATCAAAAGCGAAATCGCATTAAAACATTTTAAAGGTGGTAACAACTTTACAGCCCTTTCCGCTCACCACAATGGGTCGTGCGAAACACGACACCGAGAGAGTCCACCGTAATCGTGCCGTAAAAAAATATGCCACACTTTAATTTCAATTAAAATCGAAGTGGATCGGCACCGCCAGCCGAGCTCGCGGCTGCAGACGCGCGAGTGGCGCGAGCGGGAATTAATTTCCGTGTCACAATTTAATTAATAATGCTGCTCTCAATATCTGTATCGAGCGGGCGCTACTTTTGTAAATAAATTTATGCCGATGATACATTAAAATCGTCAAGATCCATTAGCTTTTGAGTCAATATTTGATATCTAATGTGTAATAACGAGGCTGTATAACCGCGGACGAGCTCCATTCCGCGTTCCGCAAAAGTAGATTACAATTCGCAAACTGAAATATCCCAGACGCGAGACGCGGGTTCTCGAACGGACGGAATCAACAGAATCGTCCGAAATCAACGGGAAGCTGACTTTAGCAAGATCACAGATTCATAGATATACTCTTGCGCTTTTTCATCTTAAGTCCCGACCTGAATCTTCCAACCCGACAAGACTTTGCGTCGCGCCACGTGGTCGCCACGTGGTCGAATTAAATATCAAGCGCCGTTAAAATATTCATATGAAAAAAAAAGAAAAAGGAACAGAAAACCATTTCGCCCTTTGGTCTTTGCCGACTGCAAACTCACCCACAATTAAAAGTGCACGGTTAGAGCTTTTAACCGCCGAATCACAAACTTCGGATACGACCCCTTTTACCGAAAAGCGTGCAAACATAACGCGCGCAAAAGCGAGTTTATTCACCGAGAGCGGTAGTTTCGGGCGAATTAAATTCCGCTAAATTCCACGTTACCTCAACCTGTACAGATACGACCAACTGATTACAGTTTCGCTTACCGTCCTCTACCCTCTTTTCTCCTCCACGCAGTCGCAAAGAGCATTCAGAGCGAATTCAGACTCGACCGGTCAATCCCGTCCAATGATGATCCCACAGGCGCGGTGTCGCCGGAGACGCCCCCGTCACGTCTGAAATCAATATTTCATGCCGACAAAAAATTTTTGCCGCACATCCACGCGAACATGATTGCCTCCGCCCCCCCCGCGCCTTCAGCACGCCCCGGGCGAAAAGAACCGCAGTTGAAAGTCGGTATAAACATCTTTTATTGGAAAACTTTCCGCCCGCCGTCTGGCGAAAGGAGAGATCGGCCGACGGCCGAGCGCGGAGAGGGTGAGGGTGAAGAGAGAGAGAGAGAGAGAGAGAGAGAGAGAGAGAGAGAGAGAGAGAGGGAGGGAGAGAAAGAGACGAATAACGACGTAGGATGCATCCCGTAATATATCGGCTCGCAATTCCAAGTGCGGCGCGGCACGGAGCGACTGCGGCGAATCTTTATGCAACGCACGGCGGGCGAAATATTTCCGTTTCCATCCGACGTGCGCGTGCGGCGAGCGCGAACCGATACGGACGTGCCGTATCGTATCGCAACCTTTTAGCGGTCCCTCGCGCCTAAATCGTCTTCAGCTTCGTTTCCCTTCGCACCCTTCGTTTCCCTGCCCACCGACCAGCAGAGACCCCAGCCTCGGCCGCTTTTTCTCGCCCTCGATCGTCCCGTATCCGCGGCATACGATATTTAGATCGCCCCGCACGCGCGGCGTATTTCCGACGAGCGAGCGGGGAATATCGAGCGGCGGCCGCCGCGCGCGAAGCGAACGAGCGAAAGGGTCGCGGAGGGTGCGCGCGTTACGTAGGGGGAAATTTGAGATTTAAAATATGGGAATGCGAGCGCAAGCGCGCGCACGCGCGCGCGCGGCAGACGTAACATTGAATAAACCATGCCGCCGCGCGCAATATATCGTTAAATTAACGCTCGAGCAGCCGGACGGTTTCCTCTTTCCTCCGCGCGCGGTTACCGCGCGCCGGGAATACCGTAAATACACGTGAGAAAATATTGATATTCATTGAAACAACAGAGAGAGAGAGAGAGAGAGAGAGAGAGAGCAGGGCGATTCTTATGCGCGAGGCGTGCTCCTGCACATCGACTTTCCGACCCGATTCGTGTGGCGCGACGCCGCGTATTTTCGTGAAACTCCTCGGCTGAAGCAACGCGAGTACTTTCCGCGCGAGGCTAATTCCGTGCGCTGCTACCGACTTCGATCTTCAGTCTAATCGATCTCGAGTGCAACCGTTAATTTGTCGAGTTGTCGTCTTTTATGTGTAAAAAAAGATACTGTAAGCAAAAGGAAAAAGAATATGACACCATAGGCATCAATCTTTCTCTCTCGTTTCTTTCGTTTCTTTCTCTCGGCGCTAATCGGCGCGCCGAATTAATAGCGAAGAGCCGCTCTCGAGAGGCTCTCTCGCGCGTGCGATTGGCGCGTTAATCGGCTCGGACAATAAGTTTTCCGGCGAGACGTACCTTGGTCGCTCGGTTACTCGCTGCTGGTACACCCAGTATATACCGATGTCCGGTAATCACCGTGGCGCGGGGATGCCCAGTGAGGAACGGCCGTCGCGCACCGGCTGCATCGTGAATGCAGCGGTTGCTAATTAACGCAGCGACTCGTCGCTCCGCTTTTATTTACGAGGTTGCCGCGCGCTCAACGACGATTGCCTCGGCGCACCGTGGAAGGATAACTCGCGCGCACTGGCAGTCATTAATCGCCACCGCTCGCTCCTCCATCGTGAGCGGAGCGACAGGGGTCTAGTTTATCGACCAACAGCCTCGACCTGACTGTAACAGATGTGGGTAGCCCCGGCACGGCCGTCATTACACAGTCGACGGATGCTGCGCCGATGATGTCGCAGCATCTTCGTTGATCCTCCGTCTCCCGATTTTTCCCGTCGAGAACTGTACCATTTGTCCTGCGCGGCTCTCGCGTCCTCTTTGCTCTCTTTCAATCGGAATTAATGACGCTGACGTTAGAATCAATCACTTTGCACGCGCTCGGGTTCTATCGAACGGATAATATTACCTTCTCGTGTGTTACACAGTTCATGACATAAAGAAATACATCTACGTGGAATCTACGCAAAACGTACGTGTCGCAACGCGAAGGAAAAAGCGAGAAAGCGACTCGCGCTCGGAAATTTAACAGAGACAATTGCGGGGGAAATAATTGAAGTTACGAGAGCCGTAAACACAAGCGCGACACCTTCCGTGAGAAGCGAAAGAGGAGGATCGTAGCGGGAAGTAGCCGGGAAAATGAGGAAAATGGTACGTTGAGCTTACGCAATTGCGGAATGCGTCGGGGAAAGTACGGGACGATCGACGAAGACGTCATCGGGATTCTGAGACGTGTGATATTTTGTACACGTCATCTATTATATAAAACATTATCACGCGCACTCGCGCAATACACACACACATATATATATATATATATATAATCAATATATCATACATCTCATATTTTTTTCGCTATTATATCGGCGTAATAATAACAGCGCATCAACGGACAACGTCGCGGCTTCCGCCGTTTCGCTCGACGTGTCGCGCCTCACGTGAGCGCATCACTATGATAACACGTGCTATCGATAGATGAATCGAGATCCAACGAGATGTAACGTCGATGCTTAAATAGACATATAAGAATAGGCTCGAAGCGCGTCGTGTACCCTCGTATTTTTTTTCTCCTTTTTTTCTTTTTTTGAACAGTACACGCGGGGTTTGGCAGGGCGGTGACTTTGATAGAGAGAAGAACAATGAGTGAGAGAGAAACAGAGACAAAGAGAGAGAGAGAGAGAGAGAGAGAGAGAGAGAGAGAGAGAGAGAGAGAGAGAGGGAGGGAGAGAGAGAGAGAGAGAGAGAGACGGAGCAAGACATGTCCGTCTTTCACTGCGCGCACATTAATGACAGGATTGGCCAATTAGCATGGACTCCCTCGACACGTCTCTCATGTTGTCAACGGACAGTTGCGCATATCCGACTTGCGGAAAAACGAGGAAGAAGACTTCTCCTTCGCTTCGTCCTCCTCTTTCTCTCTCTCTCTCTCTCTCTCTCTCTCTCCCTCCCTCTCTCTTTCTGTCTTTCTCTTTCTCTTCCCACTGCTCCGTCAACGGTAGGTATAACGTAGAGTCTATTTTATATGACTATAAACACTCGCCTCGCGCGTCCCCCTTCACCCCTAAACTCGCCCGTCGCAGCAGAGGCTAGCAACGAGAGTCGGCCGTTTCCCAAATTCTGCGCGTCGAGAGCTTCGCGAGTGCCGCAAAGCTCGACGCACGACGCACCGTCGAAATTTCACAACGAGCAACGGAGGATAATGACGAGCGATAGCTCGTGATGAGACAGTCGTCGTCGTCGTCGTCGAAATTTCTGCGGGTTCTACGGGAACGGGCGCCGCGCGCGGCGCCTTGGAAACCGGCGACTCGTAGTATACTCGATATTGCACACGTATATTCACAAAAAACACAAGTCGCTTATAAATAACGTTCCTTACGTGTAGAAGAGAAAAGAGAGCTACGAGACACATGAGACACTACGAAAGGGAGCGCACACCGGAAGGTGCGCGCGTGTGCGTAAAAGTGAACATTCGCGCGCGCTAAATATCACATTATATACAGCTGTCTGTCTTTTTGCGAGGGACTAGCTTAATTCCATTTCGCGTCGACGAGACCGTCAGCGAATTATAATTATATACGCATCTTATGTACAAATCTCTCTCTCTCTCCTGCATCGTATTGCACAGACGCAGCTGTCGTATACGCCTACTCGTGGAACTTCCGCCATTATGTACCCCGTGGAGAAATTACGAGAAACGCTACATCTCTATTTCATTATTGCTTACCTGTCGCGAGCGACCTGTGCGCATGTGTGTGTGTGTGTGTGTGTGTGTGTGTGTGTGTGCGTGTTTTCCTATTCTCACTTGCGCGCGGGCCGCCCCGCGCAAGCAAATAAATATTAATTGTACGGTACGTCAATGGCAATTTTACGTTCAACGATCCTCCGCGACACGAGAATAATTGCCCTGTGTGTCGGCATCCCGCAAATTTCAGAGAATGGAGTCCGAAAATACTCCGCCAAAATAAGAATACAAAAGACACAAGAGAGTCGCAACTTGAGCGAGATGAAAGCTCGCCGTCGTCGTTGTCTCGTAATTAAAATCGAAATGGACGCGAGTGAAATTTCAGCTCGATTTCATCCTCGAATCACGATAACACGGTCAACATTAACGTGATAAATGCGGCGATTCTGTACGCGAATGGAGATAAAGTGGAATATAAGCTAGGTCAGTGTGAAATTCCGCGCGCGATATATTTGTCACGGATGGTGGTTCGTCGGGAAGTGTCGATTTTTCGTGCGTGTATGTGTGTGTTCAACCTTTATAAATAAAGAGGGGAAGGACGCCTGTATTAATCGATAGCCTCGAAACTAGACGTTTCGTTATTCGTTCGCCGCTTTTTCGCTGCTCCGTCGCAGGATCGTGGGCGGAGGGATCACTGCCGGAAATGAAAACCGAGGAAAATCGCGGGCGATACCTGCGCCTATGTTACGGCAAAAGTGATCGGCAAACCGGCTCCCGTCAAATTTCCGTTAATTTTGTAGGAACTCGATCCGGCGAAACGTTCTACGTTCAAAAACGACAGCTTTCACGATGGTTTCATCGCACGCGCGATGAGGACCACGGCGAGTTGACACGCTCCTAAGATTCTCGTGAAACTCGAGGGAAATTATTTCTACATCGCACGATTCACTCACGTTTCCCTCGTAACAAATATACCGACGGCGAAATCTACGGCCAACTACTTGCCGACGGATCGATATAGAAGCACACAACCAATGTTTCTATGTAATCTCTCTGTCTCATAGATATTCTGGGATCACGATCGTTTAATTACCCTTGCCGTAACATATATTTTCATTAATTAATTAATTAATTAATTAATTAATTAATCTCTTCATTAATTGATCATTTCGTTAATTAATCTCTTCATTAACTAATCGGAATAACGACGAACTTGACACGAACGATGGCGGTCGTACCTACTACTTACTAGTCTCGTTCGAAATTCTGTTCCCGCGACCGATCGTGTACCGATATGTTGAATAAAATACACATGTCACATCGATCTTACGTGTGTTTCCTCCGTACGACCGGAGAACAAGCTCTACACCGTCCAAGCAGACGAGGACTCACGACCCTCTTGTCTTCATTTCTTCCCTAACGGCGGCAACGACTCGAGCGCGCTTTTGGACGTTTTACTGTTCTTCTGTTCGTCATACGTCCACCGCGCGATCTTCATCATCTGTGTGGGCAGTACGAAACGTGCGGAAACAGATGACAATGGATGGACTTGAATCTGCAACAGAAAGGGACGGATATTACGGAGTTAACGCGAGACCGCCGATCGTCTCACGACGCGGCGAGTTTGCCGCGATGACGCTGCAAACGTGACTCATATTTCAGATACTGAAAACATTGCAGAAATCTAAACTACCGCGAGAACGAGATTCGCGGAAGGAGCGAGCGAGGTGAAATTAGACGGAAAATAGGCGGAAGAAAAGTAAAGACAAAGAGAGGGGAGAAAGTCCTTTTTTCAAATCGGGCGGAGATCTCCGACGAGATTATTCGCGCAGTAATTTCCGATGACGACTTTACGTCCGCTCGATTTTTCACGTCGATCTACGCGATGGCGCTTCTAATGTGAGAGGAGCGGTGTCTCGTTCAGGATGAATATTCATTAATCATGCAATTTTCGCCGGGCATTATGATTCCTTTCTATCAATAATCCGTCCTCTATATCGTCTGATTGATTACCTCGCGAGCGCGCTCGTTCGTTCGCGCGGAGCGCACGAACATCCTTCCTGTCTCGCATCCTGATTGCTTTAGCTACGGACTCGATTTACACTTCACATCACGTTCATTGCCTGCTATACATTCCGACCGTTCCTATCGGACGCGCTCTTTTCCCCCTTGGCAATTCGCTCATGCTTACTAACAGGACAGGGCTCGAAGGCGTCGCGGGGACGCGCGACGGGAGCGACGAAGAAGAAACTTCGCGCGAGCGCGAAGGACGGACACATTCCCGTGTCGATATGTCGCGCGTAAAGCGCCGACATTTCCGCAATTGATACCGGCCGGGCAGTGTCAGCGCCACGATACGCTGCGAAAAATCTGGAAGGAGCAAATCCTCCTCGAGTTTAGTCCAACAGCGTCGAAGCGCTCGACGAATTCTTCTTTTCGTTCCCGTTCCTTTTTCCTCCTTTCTGACGCGTAAGCCCGGCCGACGAACTATGCGACGAATACCGCCGCAAAGACGATCAATCGGGACAAGGTGACACGAGAGAACTTTGGTAATATAAACTTTTAATAAAATGTCATCCGTCGCGCGCGCGCGCGAAGATAGCAGCGAAAGAGAGGGCACGATTTAATATCCGCGCTTTGATTATACCGACCGCAAGTCGTCGAATATATGTATATTTTGCCGGCAGAGCGCACTCGGGCTCGGCTCGGCTTCGCAGTTCGACGTGACTCGACTCATCTCCCGTGATTCTTCTCTCGTATTAATATTCACAAACGCAAAATTCGCCTTATGCCGCGCAACGCCAAATAAAAAGTTCCCCCGCGGACTCAGCCCAAGCGATGCGAAAATCTCGAGGGGAACGCGGATCTGTTTCTCTTCCTCCTCCTCTTCTCCTTTCCTCTCCCCTCTCTCTCCCCTCTTTGTTCTCTTTTTCATCTCGCGTGATAAATGTTTCGCAAGAGATCATATCCCGTATAAATTCGATAAACAACGCTTTCTTCTCCTTTCTCTCAAACGCGGCGATAAACACGGCTAACAGGTGTTTTGCGACGGAAGCCGCGCGAGGCCCGGTAAAAGTCGTCATTATTATAAAGTCAATTAAAAGTCACGAGAGCGCTGTCGTTCCCCCGTCGTAATTACTCCGCGCGGCCGTCTTCCGTCTTTCGCCGCTGCCAATTACACGGAAAACGTCGCGCGGCATATCGCCATGTGCGCACGAACGCGAATGCAAATTGCGGATGTTTACACTCGACGCATCGTCACGTAGACTGCGCGTGTCGTTCTACAAAACGGCCGTTCGCTCGCTCGCGAACGCGCAATTATTCAAGGTGCTGGACTAACGGAGGAAGCGAATTATCGCGTTAGCCCCGCGCCACGCTCGAGGATGCAGAGTTTCGTGCATTTCGGAAGCCGTATTTTCACGCCGCGAGTACTTTAGCGCGGCTCCAAATAAAAATATCCCCGCGCGCTCTCCCTCTCTCTCTCTCTCTCTCTCTCTCTCTCTCTCTCTCTCTCTCCCTCCCTCTCTGTGCGCGCATATTAATTTTGCAGCGGGTACAGCGATAAAAACGCCGCTTCTCTGATGACGCGCGACGTTCCTTCGAGGATCGACCACCGGCCAGCGTTTACGAATGCGCAGAGAGACGTCGTTAGAAAATAACCGAGCCAAATTGCAAATTAAATATAAATCTCGAATAATGGCGTAATCCCCCCCATCCTCCTTCTTTTTTCTCCCCGCTGGAGCTAAGCACAGTTGAGAAAAATAAACGGGGTCCTCGACTTTTTGCAGCGTCGTAAGTCTTCCTCTCTCTCTCTCTCTCTCTCTCTCGCGGAGACCTCCGAAGCACTTTAATTTAGTTATTTCTCTTCAAGATTCTTCGCCGGTACCCCGAGAGAGCCGACATTCTACGCGAGCACTCCAAGCGAAGTTAGCAATTATAGGAGTAATTGAGGCTTTGATGCAGCTTCGCGACGCGCGCCAGAGGACTCTCTCTCTCTCTCTCTCTCTCTCTCTCTCTCTCTCTCTCTCTCTCTCTCTCTCTCTCTCTCACTCACTCTCCCGGAGATGCTCAAAGAAATCGGAAATTAGAGCGCCGGCAGAACTCGCGCCGCGAAAATGATTCAATTTAAATGTGCATTTTTACATGAACCGCGCGCGGAAGCGACTCGATCGCGCTCGAATGCCGAAGAGTGGAGAGAGCGCTCTCGAGAAATGTTTCGAGTCAAGAGAAAGGAAGAGAATAAAAAGAGAGACAAACGGCAGGGAGAAGTGAAGTACGAGAAAACGAACGGTACCTCTTGGGATCGTCCTTCAGGTCGAAGCCGTCGATCTTCAGGATGTTCCACTCGTCCCTCGATCCCTTGGAGTAACTGAAAGAGACCTGAAACACAAGACGAAAAATGCTGGCTGTAGCTGAGCCAAGGCCAGCAAAATCCGCGACACTCCCAGGCCGAGAGTCGCGGATCAGTAACCGAGCGATCGCTGCTGCGGCTGAAAACGATACCGTTTATTTTGACGCAACCGGACTACACGTGTGGCCCTGTTTGTGTGTCTGTCTGTGTGTGTGTGTGTGTGTGTGTGTGTGCGTGTGTGCGCGCGCGTTCTCTGCGAAATGTGAGACCGAAGCATCGAGTAATGCCGGTCGCCAAGAAAAATATTTTTTGCGCCGGCCTTTCGCGTGCGTCGCGCTTGTTCTCGCCCCCGGCCATACGACCTCGCCCCCTCTCCCTCTCTCGGTCTCTCTGTTTCCCTCTCTCATGCAGACATAACGTAACGCGATCTAAACGCAAACACATTACGACGTATATTTTGGGTGACAGATTTTTTTCAACGACAGAGTTGTAATTTCTCACTTTACCAGCGTGAGGATTTAACGTCGCCCGGAAAATTCTCACGATTCTCGCGAGCGAGCGAGCGAGAGAGAGAGAGAGAGAGAGAGAGAGGGGGGGGGAGGAATGAGTGAAACTAGGCGTGCGTAAATCAAATTTTCCGCATTTTATGCGCGCGACGACGCGTGTACGTGCGATGACAGCACCGAGAGAAAAGGACCTGAGCGAAAAAAGGACGCACCTGAGCCACTTTAGTTAATACCTGGCGAGGACGGGTCATGCGTCCTCCGCGATTGCTCCTATTACGGCGCTCGGCCGGCTCGTGTAATAAACGGAAACCGCACAATTAAATAATGGCTATTGTGTTTCGTGAAATAAAACAGACAATGCAGCCGGTGCGCGTGGTCTGATTCGTCCCGCGCTTCAAATCATCCTATTATCATTCCATTATTTATCATCACGCTACTTATCCCGACCCGTACGCGCCGCGAGAGCGCGCGGTTTCAGCTCCGCCGTGCGTATCTCTCCCGCTGCATTGTGCAACGCGCGCTCCGATGATCACTCGTGTGTCGTGTACATCGAAATTATTTTTGCGCGCGTACACGCGCCGAATAACACAACGCCGGATATGGCGGTACACGCCGGAACACGCAGCGCGAATTTAACAAGCCGGCAAAAATGCTCGGGAAATTAATTCCCCGTGAATTTAACAATCACCCGCATAACTCGCAGGCTCGTCGCCTGCGCAAATATTAAAGCCCGCAGCAGCGGGCCCGCGCGCGGCGGGATTTCAGGCGCGGTTATCTCGCGATTACCTGCTCGTGGAAAGTGTCCTTGTTGAGGAACTTCATCGGTTCCAAGTGCGAGTGGAACTGCTCCACCACCGTCAGATTCTTCTTCAGGAGGTACTCGATGATGTAGCCCATCGTCACGTCGTCTGGCAGTCTAATCTTGTCGCCGACGGTGATAAATTTGCCGCCTCTGAAAACAAACGCCGGGACGTCCAGTTTGTTATTCGCGCGATCGACCGCGACTGCGTTAATACATCGGAAAAACAACTCGGTCGGTGTAGTGGAATTTTCTGTTGGTCTCGGAGAGACCAGATGAAAACTCGCTCGCGGAGGGACTCCTGGAGGAGAAGCCCCCCACACGCTCGACTGTTCGCTCGCTTCTCTCCCGAGCGAGCTTTAACGCAGCTGTGTTATTTTCGGAAGACTTTGTTTTCGCTCGCGATAATAAAGATGCCGTTTCTCGTCAGCGACTTTTCATCTGGCTCTCATTCGGTCGCACCAACTGAGAATTCTTTCTCTTCGGTGTGGCATGCTTAAACTTAATCAGCTGAGAAAAATTAATACGTCAATCGACGCTACGCCATTTCGCTTCGCTCGTTGCGCTTTCGTCGTTTACGCGCGACAGCGAAAATATTCGTTTAAAGCAGTCTGCGATTCGGAAGACATCTGTCAAAATTCCGCCGATCCAATATCGCGCCAACTGATCGTCTGATTAATGCACGATCTCGTCGCACCGTTCTCGCGTGAAATTTCGGGAATGTTCGCAGGGGGGACAGGGCGAGCTTTTGACGTTCGGTTCTTTAGTGGAAACGACACCCGTCGTAAATCACGAGGTTCGATCTCGCGACTCACGTCAGCCGCGTTTAATCCCTTGCACGCTGCTACGTGGATACAGGATTATCCTCTGTACGCAGCATTTTTAGCTTCCTCTGCGTTCTCTTCCTCTCTTTTTCTCTCCTCTCGTTCCTCTCTCTCTCTCTCTCTCTCCCCCTCTTTCTTCAAAGCTGTCACGGAGTCAACTTGCGCAATGTGTCGCGCGAAGAGTACGCGCATAGAATTATCCGGTGTTTATTACCTTCTCCTGTCGAATGTCTGCGGAAACAGGATAAGGAAAGGAGAGAGAGAAAAAGAAAGAGAGAGAGAGAGAGAGAGAGAGAGAGAGAGAGAGAGAGAGAGAGAGAGAGAGAGAGAGAGAGAGAGAGAGGATTAGGATAGTGAGGGAATTTATCATGTTCTGGAAATAATCCGTTGAAAACACCAGGCGGGTATAAGGCGGGATTAGTATCAGAAATAAACACGATTCCGTAATTAACGATTCCGCGGTGAAATTGTGGGGTACATTATTGCGGTCATTCCTCGTTTTAATCGTTGAATTTTCACAGGCTGTTACATCTCCGTGGAAAATGTACAAAATAAAAAGAAGACGGGGCAACGAGAAACTACTGGACGAGTACGTTGCACGTTGTACATAGGAAACACCTCTTTATCTTGACTTTTTATCTTGACAAATGTATCAGCATGCTTCACGATAGTCTCCTTTCCAGGGTAATTCAAGAGAGATCCCGCGGAAATTGTATGAAAAGCCTAGGGCACTCGCAGCGTCGTAAAGCCGCTCGTAAAACTTCTCGCCGCACGATTATTCTCTTTTCAACGGGCTTTGCGGCGGCTTTGTTATCCGTCGTCGATTCCCGGTGTCCCAATTGGAAATCTGATAGCCGCCGTCACAGAAAATGGAAAATCACTAACGAGACGCCGTAACCAAACTTTGTCACTCCGCTCTCGACGCTCCCGACGAGATACAACGTCTCGATAAGGGGAGACGCAACCGGCACGGTGGATTCAACGATAACGAGTGCTTTATCGGGACGTTACCCGTATTTATTTCGCGGCGAGGTCCTTCCATTTAATTACCCAGCGCGGCTCGCGCGAGTCTAATGAATCTTCCGAAAATGGTCGTCTCAACGGGATAATTACGAGACGCTGATGCCTCGACGTAACGGCGAAGATTAAGCTAATTTATAGACGGGGGGGGACTTAATTAATTTTTCTCGCGACGATTACGCGAGTTAGCGGATCGCGAATTCCGCGCGCATGAAGTTCCCCCGGCCACAGCAAATTAACTTTCTAGCTCGCCTCTCGTCGTGTTGCACCGCACATTTCGTCCCTCTCTGGCCAAACTGGTTACGGAGCGCGCGGAGGGTGAATCAATTATGCTCGTCATATGCAAAAACTTATCTCTCAGACGTATCGCGCGACTTGTTTCGCGAAATTACCTAAAAAGTCCGTTCGACAGGGCGCGCCATCTCTCCCATCGGCCGTCACTCGCAGATCCGCGACATACTTCGCCTCGCGATCGTCTCAATTACCATCCGACGAGGAATAATTATTAACTTAATTAGAAGAAGCTCCCCCTCCCCTCCCGCCGAGAGACGTACCTACGTAGATGTAATTTACGCGATTATGACGCGCCGTCGCTCGAACATGTTCGATGTCCGCTTACGAGCATCCGCGCACAAAATAATTACCGTCCCCGCGTTACGTATGAAGTAATTAACTCACTCCCATGGCGCCACGCGCGCACGCACCTTATGCAGAAGCTCGTGGAGGAAGGAGCGCACGGAGGAGGTCCTCCTCATAGCCCCCTCTGGCCAACCCTTTCGCGACGGTCGTTTCTCCTCCGGCACGCGGCGAATTGCGAGGGGAAAAACGGAGACGCGTCACGGAACCTCGCGCGGCGGGCTGGGGTCCCCGGGCGGGAATAAATTACCGGCCCTGTACAACCACCCCAAAAGTCACGCGATGCCGACTAAGGTCCTTAAGTCCCTCGCGTGGCACTCGACACGCATGCACGATTAAGGTCGGCCGGAAACGCGACGGCGGCGGCGGCGGCGGGCATTGACGATGCGAAAGTTGCTCACGGGTACATGAAGAGAGGACGACGCGAGCGCGACGAGGATTGTCGCAAAAAAGGACACTCGTAAAAGAAGGATAATTGGCCTAATAGGCCGGCAACACGACGGAGCCAAGGAACGAGGCCAATCGACTGGTACCTCTGTTTCTCGGCGACAGCACCGGCTCTCCCTTTCCCCGATTCTCCGCAGGAGCTGGGATGTTATCCTCAGCAAACATGTACGTCGCTGTCGCGATAGAAGGGAGGAGGTGAGGGGCGGAGTGAAAGGTATGATGAAAATAAAAATGTAAGTGTCACCTGCTGTATGTCTCAGAGAAAGAATTGAAAGAAAAATGTCCTATCTCAATTATCTCTATATTACTCTACTGCTTTACCGTAGAATTATCCAGCGTAATTATTCGATTTTAACATCTTAGGCACGATGCGCCACTATAGTGGCTTTCGCGGATGTCATCTTTTTGAACGACGCGCCACTATAGTGGCTCACTCTAGTGACTCACTCGCTCACCGTTTGAATTAACTGATCGTTTTCATATGTCTTGTTTCACACTTTTCTTGCCTTCACAACGTTTCGTAACAGTGTTAACAATATACAGACAGAATATACAGTCTTTGTTTTTGATACGCCAGTGTCAGGTATGAATTGCCGAATCAGGTTGTTGCTTTTCGTTTAAATAAATATACCATTTGCTCTTTTTAACACGCCGATCCGTATCCTTATATGGTATAATTTTCCGCAAAATTTAAAAGAGCATTACGAAATTGTATCGTATGTTCAAAGAACGATGATAAGACGAAGATCGCGCTATGAGTGCGAAGATTGTGACGTGGGTCTGTATGTGTCGTACCGTGCTTTAAAATATATCATACTCTATTGTATTATTAATTGTTAAAGTAAATTATTAAAGTTAAAGTATATGTAACATATCTTTAAGAAAAATTATAATTTAATCATCAGAAACTTCATTCCAATGTGCTCGCGTAGAGAACAGCATCCGTCCGTCGCACATTGCAGTGCCGTATCGTTTACGCGTAATTCGCGTCGAACTCTGCCGTACAGAGAAAATTCAGCCGTGCCTAAGAGGTTAATAATGCGAAATGGAATCCGGACAAATGCAACGGGGAAAAGGATCCCATCCGTGCAGCCGAACGGCCGAGACCAGGCGACGAAAACTCGGCGACGAGGAACGATATCTCCACTGTCGCGGCCGGACATTCGGCTCCGTTGGAAATCGCTGGAGATAATTGAGGACAATTGGCTGAACAGAAATCTCCTACGGCGATCTTTCCGTTCCTACCATTGAGATTCTTCTCGTCTGACCTGCCCTGGATCGCAACGGAAAATCGGTTGTCCCGAATCGAGTATTTTTTGTTTTCTTTTTCGTGCAGACGACAAGAGTCAGATGATCGATTCATCCGCCGCAAACCGAGCATCCTTCCTCGTCTCTCATCAGCGAGCCGCCGTGCTCTTTGTATTTCATCACGAATCACGCGGCTGCCTGTTTGCTGAAACAATCCACAAGTCACTCCGCGGGTGTCTCTCGGGAGGGGAAGAACCTCCCGCCGCACATGGACCGCTCGACGCCTGGCGATTCGATCATTCGGCCATCATAAATAACTCGCGCCTCGCCGCGGAATCGATCAGCATCGGCTGCGCGAATCGTTAACGCTCATTTCTCACCGTCGTCGTCATATTGCTCATTAATCTCGACATTAATCAAGGATGGACCGCGCACCGGCCGTTCGCGACGCGCGCGCGCGCGCGCTCGCGAAGTAACGATCACTTTTCACCCAATAACGCGCGCTCGTCTAGCGCGCGCGATCGTTACTTCCTTTACTACCCGGCGCTTTTACGGCCACAGCTCCTTCGGCTTCGTAGTCCTCGGAAGAATGCGAAGATGAGGAATTTAACGCCTTTCTCTCTCTCTCTCTGCGTTATAAAACTCGACTTGAAACTCGAGAATCTCTATAGATCCACGCTAGGTCTGAACATATATACCTGTCCTGAAAATTTCTCGGAGCAAAGTTTCGCTCGAAAAAGCAAAGTGGCGGCCATCGGATCACTCGATTCCCCCCCCCCCCCTACTCTGCACCGTCGAGTGAATATTTCCACTTGAAAGCGAAAGGAGCGTTCCGATGTGTCTCACTGTCACTGTCAGGAATCTACTCGCTTCTCTAATCGATCGGAACATTCGAAACTTACACAAAGTCGGAATTCGTTCGAAGCTTGTACAAAAGTTGAATTCACTCTTGCGATTTCGAGCAGCGGTGTCTTCTCC